CCCGAGCGGAAATATCGAGCCTTCGGGCTCAAGACGCCCCCAGGTGGCCTAAAACAAACCCGAACAGGCCCCCACAGAACCCCAAGAGGTTCCCGAAAGGCCCCCCCCCCCACAGGATGCCCCCCCATGGCGTAAGAATTTCCTTCAAGACGCCCCCGAAAACCGCCACACGACACCCCATCAGCCATCCGAGTGGCCCCAGACCCACAACCCAGGCACGGTGGCGAGATGAGCCGACGGCCATTCGATTATCATTATTTTGGTGTTTCGGCATACGAACGACGATCAAAACGGGTCTTACGGGACATGTCACAACGATTTCGCATGGCGGCTTACGTGGGCCGCCGGCGCGGCACGCCATATTGGGGGGTGTTTACGGGCGACCTTGCGCGGGCAGTTTGCGTGCCAACGTCGGCTCAGACGACCCCGTCTTCATTCTGCCGCTCAAATGCCCGCCGCCTGTGCACGTTGGTTTCCGCCTGTTTGCCCACTCGCGCACGGCGAACATTGAAAATGCCAACCGTGGAAATACAACGGCCCCAAAAACATCCCTCGAGACTCCGTCCGTGCCCTTCCCCGAATCTCCCGAAAAAACTCCAAACGGACCCCACGAAAGATCCCTGAAACTCGATCCGAAAACCATGCCGGGATGGACCAACAATTATGGAAAATGTCTCGGTCCAGAGGCCCGTACAAGGTTTCCACATGCACGGTGAAAACACACGTTCCAAGGGTACGGGAAACGCCCCGGACGGTCATCGGAGGCCTGAATTAAGGCTTCAAGACCAGATCCTGATCGTTCCTCCTCATCCTTCTCTTCCCCCTCCTTCTCCTCCTCCATGTCTTCCTTCCCCCAACCAACATCCCCCCTGCTTGTCATCCTTTTCCCCCCTGGGGGCCCAAGCATTCGCGCGCTGCCGCAAGCGCTCCAGCGGGTCGCGCGCGCGAGACTTGCACTTCAGGGCGCCATTCATGCGGGTGCGCGCGAAACTCCGCCGTCGCTGGAAATGACATCGGGAGCTTCCTCTCGCAGGTGCCGATCGCTAGCCAACTCCGCGCCGTGAGCCCGAAGGCTCTGCAACTCGCGAATGCAACGTTTCCATTTCTATCTTGTCTTTCGCTCATATGATCTTGCCGCGGGAACTCTTTCTCGCGCGCTGCACGCGCCAACTGTCGTTTGAACCGCGTCGCCGCATCGAGTGCTTCATTCGCAGCAACGCCCCGTTTATCGCACTCTCCGACGCTCCCCTACCAGCTCTGGCTCCAACCGCATCGCGTCTCAAAATGTCACGCAACCTGGCGTGCAGCAGGCCCGGTGCTTTGCTTGCGATCTGTTCGTTTGCGAGTGGTTGCCTCGCGCGTGGCCGCATCGCTTCTTGCCTCTCAGATTCGGCCGCGTCGCATTTTCTTTGCGCTTCCGACGTCGCCGCCTTCTTTTCGAATAGCGCCAGTCACTGCCCGCTCGGACACCACACCGTGCCGAAGCACTTGTTTGACTCCGACTTGCCATTGCGCGACTTCTCTTTCGCCTCCATCTGACTGCACTTCGCGCAATGCAGGGCCCGAGTCCTCTTGGGCCCCTCCTCGTCGCCCGCTCCTTCGACGGCCTGGCTGCCGCCGCTCCTTGTCTATCCAGCGCCCTCCGCAGCGTTTTCCCATGATTGGCGCGTTTTGCGCTATGTCTTCCCGATGCTTTTCGCATCCGCCGCGCACTCTTTACAGGGCGACGCTGGCCTGGCCATCCGCTGGAACTACTGCGCGGGCGCCTCCGCCAGCGGCCTCCGCCAGCGCCGCTCGCGCGCGTCTCCCGGCGCCAGCTGCGCGCCCGACGCTTCCCCGGCCCCCCCGCCCCCCCCCCCCCCCCGCCCCCCCTCGCAAAGCCTGCAGCGGCATTTTGGCCCACGCCATCTCGCCCTCGTTGCGCGGCCCCCAATCAAATGGCAGAACGATCGATTGGTTCTCTCGCCTTCTCCCGCACGCGGCGGCCGCGCCGCTGGACATCGCATCGGCGCCGCGCATTGCATCGCTTGCCGCCGCCGTTGCGCCCGCAGTCCGCCCGCGCGCGGCGCGCGCCGCCACTGCCGGCGACAGCGCGACCATGAGCTGCGCGCGCTCGACGCTCAACGCTGGATGCCCCCCGTGCCCGCCGAGTTAGCACTGGCGCCCTTTCGTCGAGGAGCGCGGGCGCAGCCCTGGCCCCCGGCCACGAGGTGCCAGCGCTGCGCGTGGAAGACTAGCACTCAGAGCTTTGGCAAACGCAACGACACTTCCTCATATTCATCTCCGACGACCGCGCCCTCGCGCGTTGTCCACCCACGATTTGTCGCTGCGCGCCCCCGCAGCAGGCGTCTCTTTCGACCGAGCCAGGCGGTCTCCAAGCGCGACGAGCGCGCCCTTAGCCGGCGGCAACCACCCCGGCAAACTCGCGAACTCCTCGTCGCGGAATCCAGACCGCCGCATTTTGCCCCCCGCTGCGCGCAGCCGCCCCTGCCCCCCCCCCGCGGCGCGGGCGATCTCTCGCCGCGATCCCCGCGGCAACAGCCCCCCTCGCCCCGTCGCCCGCGGCGCGGCTCTGCCCCCGAACGCGGCGCCGAATATCTCGACCTATAGATTGCAATGGCATCGGCGAATTTCCCCCCTCGAATTCGCGCCCTCCGGCGACGTCGCCGCGAGCCCCCCTTTCTCTCGCTCGCCTTCGCGCGACTTGCGCCCCAGCCCGCTGCCCTTCAAAATTGCCTCTGGGCCCCCTTGACAACGCGCGCCGCGCGCCCCCGCGCCGCGGCCCGCCGCGCGCCCGCAACGCCGGCGCGCCCGCCGGCCTGCCACGCGAGCATTTGCGCGCCCGTCTGGTCAGCGCCCCTCGCCGAAACTCATCTTGCACGCCAAAGAGCCAGGTCGTCCTGGCCATCCATCCGCTTGCACTCTGTCGACTCCGTCACCCCCTGCGCCGCCCCTTCCCATCCGGCCCTCCCAAACATGCGCTGCCTGTGGTCCTCCGTGGCGGCGCGCTCTTCCTTGTTATCTTCAGATCCGACGTGGAAACATTGCCTGCTGTTCCAGATAGCTGATCCAGCCGATAGAAAGACTCCGCATAACATCGCGCTCGCGCCCCCGAGCGGCCTATCCGCGCCGTTTGCTCCGACCTTCGCCGCGCTCGATGCGAACGTGCACGACAGCGAATGCGAATCCAATTCAGACAGGAAGCGCGCGCTCAGCTTATCTGGTCAATGAGGAACCACTTGCGCTGCGATATTATAAGGGCTGCCTTTTCCCTTGTTGTCTTCTGGTGCGTCTCCGCGTCGCCATTATCCTGCGCGTTCTGCCCCTTCGTGTGATGCGCGCCCATGCCAGAGCGCACTGTGGATTGTGTTCCCGTTCGACGTTGAGGCGTTCGACGCTTGCAGAGCTACCACCTGGAAGTCTATGCCGCGCGTCGAGCTAATTATTTGCTACTGTTCCCACGACGAAGCCGCCCCCCGCGCGGGCCTGCTATGAAAACCCACCCCACAGGACGGCATCGTTCTCAGCGCCTGACAATGTGTTCTTTCTTCGCGCTTGCGATGACAATTCCCCGACTTGCACGCGACCGGCCTCGTGGTCTACGACGCTAGGTTGTCCCGCCTTCAATGATCCATTTCCGACACGTGCTCTCCATTTCCGCTCGCTCGAAACCGTTGCTTTCTTCCCAGGTGCCACGACGGGTCGCCTCCGCTGCCCCCGCCACGTAGCTTTCTTGCGATCTTGACACGACGGCCGACGCTGGTGCCTTCTACGAGGCTTTCGCAAGCGCGTGCAAGTTGTACGATACTATATGCGTATTTGCCAGACGTCACGAGGATGGCGCCCCCTCCGGTGGGTCTGAAACTCTGCTGTTAGTTTGATTGTACGCTTGCGGTTGGTTCCTGAGTTTGTTATATGTTGTTTGGCATTGTGATTATCAGTGTGTTTGCTGCGAGGTGTTCCCCACCTGTGCTTTAGCATGACAAGAAGCATGACCGTGGGTCATGAACATTGTGTTTTCCGACGCCTCTGCCGGTGTTGCTGATGGTTGGTTGATGCCGATGCGGCTGTTTCAATTCCGCATATCCTCAGCAGAGAATGAGCTTTTCTCTGGTCGCGAAGACTGCGTGTTCCGAGACCTCTACCGGCTTTGCTGATGTGGTTGCCTCCGC